AAAAGGTCACTGAAGAAGATAATTCCTCAAAAAATTAGAATTGAGTAAATAGAAGCTAATGACTTTATGAGAAATCAAGAAACAATGAAACAAAACCAAAAGAATGAAAAAATAGAAGACAATGTGAATTATCTCATTGGAAAAAATAGCTGACCTGGAAAATAGATCCAGGAGAAATAATTTAAAAATTATTGGACTACCTGAAAGCCATGATCAAAAAAAGAGCCTAGACATCATCTTTCAAGAAATGATCAAGGAAAATTGCTCTGATAGTCTAGAACCTGAGGGTAAAATAGAAATGGAAAGAATCCATCAATCACCTCCTGAAAGAGATCCCAAAGTGAAAACTTCCAGGAATATTACAGCCAAATTGCAGAGCTCCCAGGTCAAGGAGAAAATATTGCAAGCAGCTAGAAAGAAACAATTCAATTACCATGGAGTCACAGTCAGGATAACACAAGATTTGACAGCTTCTACATTAAAGGATTGGAGGACTTGGAATATGATATTCTGGAGGGCAAAGGAGCTAGGATTACAATCGAGAATCACCTACCCAGAATAACTGAGTATAATCCTTCAGGGAAAAAAGTGGTTATTCAATGAAATAGAGGACTTCCAAGTATTCCCGATGAAAAGACCAGAGCTAAATAGAAAATTTGATTTTCAAATACAAGACTCAAAAGAAACATAAAAAGGTAAACAGGAAAAGAGAAATCATAAGGGACTTATTAAGGTTAAACTATTTATATTCCTACATGGGAAGATAATGCTTGTAACTCATAAGAACTATCTCATTACTAGGGCAGTTAGAAGGAGTATGTATAGACAGAGGGCACAAGTGTGAGTTGAACATGAAGAGATAATATCTAAAAAAGCAAAATTAAGGGGTGAGAAAGGAATGCACTGGGAGAAAGGGAAAGGGAAAGATAGAATGGGGCAAATTATCTTCCACAAAAAAGGCAAGAAAGCACTTTTACAGTGGAGGGGAAGATGGGGGAGGTGAGAGGGAGTGAGTGAACCTTATTCTCATTGGAATTGGCTCAAAGAGGGAATAGCACACACACTCATTTGGGCATAGAAATCTATTTTACCCTACAGGAAAACAGGAGAGGAAGGGGATAAGAGAAGGGTGGGGCAATAGAAGGGAGGCCAGATTGGGAAAGGCAGTAGTCAGAAGCAAAACACTTTTGGGGAGGGACTGGTGAAAGGAGGGAACAGAATAAACAGAGGGAAATAGGATGGAGGAAAATAGCAATCATAACTGTGAAAAAATATTTAGAAGCAAGTATAAGGAACAGAGTCAAATTTATAAAAATAACAACCTTTCCTCAATTGATAAGTGATTGAAAGATATGGACAGTTTTAAGCTGAAGTAATCAAAGCTATCTATATCCATATAAAAACGCTTTACATCACTATTGATTGAGAAAATGCAAATTAAAACAATTCTGAGGTACTACCTCATACCTATTAGATTGGTTAATAGGACAGAAAAGGAAAATGACAAATGGTGGAGGGGATGTGGTGAAAATGAGACATTAATGCATTGTTGGTGGATTTGTGACCTGATTCAACCATTCTGTAGAGCAATTTGGAAGTATGCCCAAAAGACTATAAAACCATGCATATACCCTTTGACCTAGCAATACCACTACTAGGTCTGTATCCAAAAAGAGATAAAAAACAAAAGGAAAAGGACTTAAATGTACAAATATATTTATAGCAGCTCTTTTCTGGTAGCAAAGAACTGGAATCTGAAGGGATGTCTATTAATTGGGGAATGGCTGAATAAATTGTGGTATGTGATTGTGGTGGAATATTATTATGCTATAAGAAATGATGAGCAGGAAGTTCTCAGAAAAACCTGAAAAGGTGTGGGGAGGGAGGAAGGGAGAGATTTTGGAATTCAAAGTTTTAAAAATGGATGTTAAAGTTGTTTGTACATATAATTGGGGAAAAATAAACACTTAACAAAAAAGGGAAAAAAAGAGAAGCAGATACTTTAAGCAGGATGAAGGCTGAGAAAACAACATTGTATTTGCAAGGTCAGAACAGCCACCAGAGGTGCACCAATTGACATCCATCAGAGTCTGCCACTAAAATCCAATTCATGTACAAGTCAAAACACCACCCGTGATGTCATTGGTCCTCTTTGAAAATGAAGGATGAAGCCACAAGAACAGGGCAAGTAGCCATAGAAGCCAAGCCCAGAGAGGAGCTAGCCTTGAGGAGTGACCTGCTTAATGCCCTTATAGACCCAGCAGTCAAGACACCACTCTCCCATTGCCTATGGAACACTCCAAAGTGACATGGTGCAGTGCTGGAGAAGGACATTCCATCGTCATTTTGAGCTTGAGTCCATTTTCTCTAGGGACTGAGTGGGTGTGTAGAGGGAGGAATGTGCTCTGGTTCAAAGGTTGGGGGAAGTTGTTGATTCAAGGTTCTGGGGGCTGTTGTCATCCACTGACCTCTGGGACACTCATTCCTACCTCAATGAATTTAGTGCCAGGCTCACAGTCTGTTTCTCTTTCCCAACTCCTGCCCTCATACTGGGAGACTTCAACATATATAATGACTCTCCCTCAAACACCCAAACCTCCCAGTTTTTCAACCTATTCATTTCCCATGCCCTCCTCCACCTCACCTCAGTTACACATAGAGATGTTTGTACTCTTAATTTTGTGTCACCCACATGTTTTCTACTTGCATGCTTATGAACTCTGTGATTCCCTTTCCCGATTGCAGTCTCTCATCACTCTACCACTCCCAGTTTCCAAATCCCTAATTCCATTCTTCATCCTTATCATGATCTACAATCCCTCCAGTTCCCTGCTCCCCCGCCCCCACTAGCTTTTCTCTCTCTCCTCCCTTGCCCATCTTGACTCCTTGGTGACCCAATTCAGCTCTACTCTGTCTTCTTCTCCTCTGCCTCTATACTACTGCCCTGGTTGATCTCATCGGCTCCCATGGCTTCCGTGCTTATCTCTCTGCTAATGATTCTCAGAATTTCCCATCTGGCTGTACCTGGTAGTCTCATCACTCTAACTGCTTATTGAACATCCCAAGCCGGATGTCCTGTAGACATCTTGCACTTAACATATCCCAAACTGACCTCATGATCTTCCTTTCCTGCCCCCAACCCTAACCCAGTGACACCCTTTGTGACATTGCCCTCTCTTTCTTCTCCCACTACCACTGTTCTTGGCCCTGGTTCTTGTAGTCAAGGAAGAGGATTTCTAAATTTATTGAAAACAAAACAAACCAAGCAAGAAAATCCTGTGCCACCAGCCCCTTTTGGAGGGTCAGTGGCAGTAGCAGATTTTATAGACTGTGGAGGCAGGTGAGGACCTAGAAAAGGCTGGAAGTGTGGGCTCGGACCCTGGGCTCCCTGGAGAAGGGTCCAGGCAGCTCCCAGAGGCTATCAGGGGTAGAGGGGTTACTCTTCTGGACCTGTGGAAGAAGTATCCATGCTGGGAGTTCCCACAAAGAAACAGTCACAAAGAGATGGGGGGAAAAGCCTGTGGTAGTGGGAAGGAGCCTGTAAGGGGGTCATCAGGCCTGGCTCCTTGTGCTTAGCACAGTACCTGGAACATAATAGGCACTTAATGTTTATTAATTGATTACTGATTTGATATAATTGATTACTGATCGATTGTGATATGTTTGCCTCCTAAACAGCTATTGAAGAGTCATAATTGACTCATAATGGTTTCTGGGGTGCAAAGTACTTCGTGGGTCCAGCCATGGAGCTCCTCTCTTTGTTGTCCAGGCATTCAGTTGTGTCTGACTCTTCAAGATCCCATTTGGGTCTTTCTTGGCAAAGATACTGTAGGGGTTTGCCATTTCCTTCTGTAGCTCATTTTACAGTTGAGGAAACAGGCAAACAGGGAGAAGTGACTTGCCCAGGGTCACGCAGCTGGTAAGGGTCTGAGGGTGGATTTGAACTCAGGAAGATGAATCTTCCTGGCTCCAGCCCAGGACTCAGTCTCTCCACTGTGGCGCCACCTAGCGGCACCAGTTATTAATTATGAATACATCCTTCCACCCCATTGGCTGTGTGATGCTGGGCAAGTCAAACTTCTCTGGGCCTTAGATTCCTTATCTCTAAAATGGGTGTAATAATACTATACTAGGAGGCTATTGTGAGGATTAGCTGAGATACTGTGCACACGCATTGCAAGCTTCAAAGGGCTAGAGAAATGTTATCTGATCATTATAAAAGTGAAATTAGTTATGAATAAAGCCCATTATAGTGGGGAAAAGGAGATCTCTCATCCCTCAGGCACTCGATGGTGAGAGACAGCGAAAGAGAGAGAGATGGGGAGGGAAGAAACAGACAGATACAGATGGGTGGAGGTTTGTGTGGTAGGAGACACATATACACATAGAAAGACATAGAGGACAGAGAGACAGAGAGACAGAGACAGAGAGAGAGAGGCAGAGACACAGAGAGACAAAGATTAAGAGAAAGACAGATTGAGAGAGAAATAAAGAGACAGAGAAATAGATAATGAGAGACAGAGAAAGACAGTGAGAGAGGGAGGGAGGGAAGAGACAGACAGACAGTCAGAGAGACAGAAAGATAGAGAAAGATTGAGAGAGCCAGAGATAAAAACAAAAATAAAGAGAAAGAGAGAGAAATTGAAAGACAAAGAGAGACAGTGACAGAGAGACACGCAGAGACAAAGAGATAAAGACAGAGACTAAGAGAGATTAATGGAGACACAGAGAGACAGAGACAGAGAAATGGAGAGAGTGAGTGACAGAGAGATGGGGGGGGATGGAGAGGCAGCAAGGGAAGAGAGACAGACAAGGAAGGCAAGAAAGAGGGAAAAGGCAGAGGAAGCCTGAAGAGGGCTCTGTGCTGAGGATGGAGAGGTAGATGTGGCCCCTGGAGGGGAGGACCTATCAAAAGGAAAATGCCCAGGAGGCAGAATTGAGAAGGCTCTCCCTCCCTCCCTGCTCCCCCCCCAGCGTCCCTTGCTCCAAGCCTTGCTCACCTTCTTCCTGTCCTGTTCTCTGGGGGCCAGGCTGGCAGCTGTAGACACTCTGAGGAGGCCAGGGCAGAGCAGAGCTCTCTGGGTAAGGACTTGGTGGGGCGGTTGGTCCTCCAGGGCAGTAGAGCAGGTCTGAAAGTCTCTGGCTGGTGATTCATTAAGGGTTATCACTGGGCTCCATGCTCCTTCTGACTTCCTGGGCAGGTCCCACCAGCCAATGTTGGCCCTGGATCTGTGATCAGATGTCCCTTCTGATAGTGGGCATCCTGTTTGCAGTGTGGCTTTCAAGTGGTTTGCTCTCTCATCTCATTCTGATAACTTCTCCCAGAGTGCTGAGAACTCTCCCCTCCTGCACTGCCGGGCTGAGGTCGGGCACCAGCTGGGCCCATCGAGTCAAGAATGGCCGCCAGACACCCTGCCCTCAGACTGATTCAGCTCAACCTTGACTCAAGGGGACCAACCCTGCCCAGTGCTGGCGGCCTCTGCATCTGACCACTGCTGTGTTAGAGTTGGTAGCAGGCTAGAAAATGGACTGGGGGTGTGGTGGGGGACAGATGGAGGTGATGTGATGGGGAGTGGGGGAGAGTTCTTCTGAGCCCAGCCCAAGTGGTAAGGCTCTCTCTCTCTCTCCTCAAGTTAACACATATTTTCTTATCTGTGAACCACTCAGCTGAGGTTGTTATTAATGGCTAAATCTCAAGTCTTTTTCCTTTCTTTTTTCTGGCTAGGCAATGGGGTTAAGTGACTTGCCCAGGGTCACACAGCTAGTAAGAGTTATGTGTCTGAGGCTGGATTTGAATTCAGGTCTTCCTAAATCCAGGGCCGGTGCCTAGCTGCCCCTAAATCTCAGGTCTTTAACTTGACTACTTCCCTTTCTCCTCTCCCATTTTCCAGAGGCCCCTGCTCTCCCCGGCATCCCTCTGCTCAGAGCCACAGATTGTGCTGTCTAACAGAGGGAACACTGGCCTTGAACCCCGGCTAGGCTACCTGTCACTGTGTCATTTGGCAAATGAGAGGATTGGCCTAGGGGTCAAAGCCGAGGACCCTGGCAGAGTATGTTACTCTTTTGGCTCCCTTAGGCCCATCCCTGTTTGCCCAACCTGGGTGACTGTCACCCCATGGGGTGGGGCTCCCATGGGATGACCATCAGGGCTGGTGCCAAGGTGTAGGGGGGCCTGCCTTGAACTCCCATGACCTCGTGACAAGGGACCGTCTAGGTTGCTATCTGCTTGTCCTTGGCCCTCCCTGCCTGACTGGCTCACCTTCTCTCCCAGCTGTACATCCTTCGCAGGGCTTTCCTCAAGTAGTTCCTGCACCCCCAACTTGCTTCTTGCCATGTGCCCTTTGGGCGATGCTCTGAGCCGGCACATTCCATAGCTTGCAGCCCATCAAACAACAATATAGCCATTCATGACCCAAGCCCAAAGTGATACAGCCAGCTCCGATACAGAGCAATGCTGTGGAGGGTTACAATGTGACAATACCAACCCAGCCTGCTGGTTATTCAACACTTGGGGGTTTGGAAGCCGACTGGTCATCCTTTGCTCTCAAAGATGTCACCAAAATGACATCACTATGTTGGGGTCAAAAGACAGCGTGTCCAGCCGTGGTTGATCAGAATGATCTGAGCTTGGAAGGCTCCACCACAGGTCAGGCACACACGTGGACATTTGTCCACATGAACATCTGGAGTGGAAATGTCTCCATATGCACATCTCACATTTCTTTTGAGCTACTGCAATTCTGCTTTGCTCCTAGAGCACAGCAACTTCTTTGATGTGGGTATGCCATGCCAGGCAGTCCTCTGCCGGTGTCTCCCATGTATCACGGTGGATTCCAACGTTCTTCAGAAAGATCTTGTATCACTTCTTCTGACTTCCAAGTGAGCACTTGCCTCGAGTGAGTTCTCTGCAAAACAGTCTTTTGGGCAAATGTACGTTTCACATTTAAACAATGTGGCCAGCCAATTGGAGCTGCTCTCTCTAAAGGAGAGTTTAAATACTTGGCAGTTTAGTTCAAGAAAGGACCTCAGTGTCTGGTACCTTTTCCTGCCAGGTGATCTTCAGAATCTTCCTAAAACAATTCAAATAGAAGCAATTCAGCTTCCTGGCATGGTGCTGGTAGATTGTCCAGGTTTCACAGGCATATAACAATGAGGTCAGCACAATGGCTCTGTAGACCTTCAGTTTGGTAGGCAGCCTAATACCTCTTCTTTCCCACAGTTTCCTTCAGAGCTTCCCAAACACTGAGCAAGCTCTGGCAATGCATGTCATCTATATGGACATCCCTGGAGAATGCACTGCCAAGATAGGTTGAACTTATCCATAGCACTGAAAACTTCTCCATTTGCTGTAACCACTGGTTCCATGCATGGATGGTATGGTGCTGGCTGGTGGAGAACTTCTGTTTTCTTGGTGTTAAAATGAGCACAAGTGGCAAAGAATCAATACATACATTGTTGCATCTAAGCCTCAGAGGTCACAATGAGTGTGCAATCATATTCTAACAAAAAGTCACAAACCAACTCTCCCTCCACTTTAGCCTTTGTTTGTAGCCTTTTCAAGTTACATAGTTTACATCAGTGCAGTAGCTGACCTTGATGCCATGTTCACCCTCACTGAAGGTATCTGACAACATGGCTGAAAACATCATAGAAAGCATGGGAGCGGTCATGCAGCCTTGCTTCACTCCACTGGTGACAGGGAAAGTGCTAGAGCACCATCCGCCATCCAGAACCTGAGTAAGTGGGCCATCTGGAATTGGCCTGTAATACTGACAAATTTCTCTGGGCAACCAAACTTTAACATAATCTTCCATAAGCCCCCACAACTGACATCATCAAAGGCCTTGGCCAGATCAGCAAGCATTGCCTACAGACCTCTGTCCTCCTCTTGGCATTTCTCTTGGAGCTATTGGGCAGTAAACACCATATCAACCGCTCCTTGGCCCTTTCTGAAGCCACGCTGGCTCCCAGGTAGATGGCCTCTTCCAGGTGAAGGATCAGCCTATTGAGGAGGACTCTGGCAAGAGTCAGGCCAGGAATGATGAAGAGAGGGGACCCCCCTCTACCCTGTGATTGTCACAGGACAACCTATTTCCTTTATAGAGATGGACAATGGAGGTATCCTTGAACTCCAAGAAGGCAACCTCCTCTTGCCATGTAACTCAGATCTCAATCAGCTTTCGTATGATCAGTGGCCCCCTGCCTTATGAATTGCAGCTGGAATAGAATGAGCACCAGGCATTCTGCCACACAAGAGGAGACTAATGACATTCAAAACCTCTTCTTTAGTCAGAAGTTCAGCTAAAGATTGACTTCAACATGAAGTATATGGTCAATGGCTTCAGCACGGCTTGAGGATAGTCTGTTGAGAACACTGTGGAAGTGTTCAGCCCATCTCTCCAGGATCATGACCTTAGCAGTAACCAATGTGGCTCTGTCAGCACTGGGTAGGTGAGATGCATCGTAAGTCTTTGGCCCATAAAGAGCCTTCAGGGCATTGTAAAAGCACTTCAGATAGTTACTGTCAGCACAAAACTGAATCTCATCTGCCAAAAATCCTGCATCTCTCTAAGCTTTGCTTGGACTTTACTTTTCCTGGAGTTAAATGCTGCCTTCTTAGGGACAAATGAACTACCCTGCCGGTAAACCCTGTGGAGTTCTCGGTTTTCACTGAGCAGCTTCTGAATTTCCCCATCGTTTTCATCAACCCAGTCTTGATGTTTGTGAGTGTCCTGGCCCAGATGAGGAAATGCAGTGCTGCACACCAGATCTCTGAAAGCCGCCCACTCCTTTTCTGCTCCACTGTTGCCAACTGTGTGTTGGTTCAGTCTTTTCTCCAAGGTAGCAATGAACCGTTCACTCTCAGAGAAGAGCTGCAATCTGTTGACATTAAGTCTTCTGATAGCTGCTTTGCCTTGGGGACGCTACTTTTGTAGAATGCAAACGTTTAGCTTGGAGAGGATAAGTCTGTGATCAGTCCAATGCTCTGTGCCCCACATTGCCACACATCACCTTCGTCACTCTTACGTCCTGTCTCTCTTCTCCTTACAATGACATAGTTTGTTAAATGTCAATGTTTGTTGTGAAGGTGCATCCACAAAGTTCAATCATGTTTAGGTAAATGGAAGACAGTGTTGGTGATGAGATGGTCATGAATGCACGAGTCTTCAGAAGTAAGTGATTGTGGCTGTTTCTGTTTCTGACTCCATTCCTCCCAAAGACTCCCTGTCATGTCTGCTGGCACACGTCTGTGGCTACTCTTGCCTTAAAGTCACCTAGAATTGTAAGCTTGATTTCTTTCAGCACATTGACAATGAGAGTCTCCAGGTCATCATAAAATTTCTCTTTGACTTCATTGGGGTTCATCATGGTGGGAGCATAGGCACTGATGATGGTGGTGTGGCATTTTCCTGTAAGTGACAATTGCATTGTCATCAGTCTGATGTTCACTTCTTTTGGGAGACACACAAGCTTGTTGACTAGATTAGTTTTGATTGCAAAACCCACACCAGCTTCACAGCCCTCCCGTTCACTGTGGCCACTTCAGAAAAACATGTATCCAGCTCTGACTTCAGTAAGCTGGCCTTCATCTGCCAGCCTTGTTTCACTCAGGACTGCTATTTGGATGCGATACCTGCTGAGTTCTCTTGCGACAAGAGCTGTTCATCTTTGAGATCTTCTAGATTTCATGCTGTCCATAAGTGTGCACAAATTTCATGTACCATTGGTGAGTGGAATCATCTTTGCAAAAGGTTTTGTACATATTTTTGTGTGTGTTTTGACTGCAGGGTGGGATCCCCACCTCCTGTGGTAAGCAGGATTTTTATACTTTTGTCTCTCCTTTCACCCTGTCCTTCCTCACCAGTATTTTTCTTCTGATCACCCCCCCCCCAATTTGCCCTTCCTTCTATCAGCTCCCCCCTTTTCTTTTCCCCTTCCCCTCCTACTTCCCTATCAGGTAAGATAGATATCTATACCCAATGAGTATGTACATTACCCTCTCTTTGAGCCAAATCAGATGAAAGTAAGGTTTAAACAATGCTCACCCCTGCTTCCTTCTTCCCATCTACTCTACAACTCCAGAAGAAATGCCCAGAACAGAACATGAGTCTGTACACAACATCTGTAGATCTGAACAAGACCTTTGATGCTGTCAGTTGTAGGAGCTTCT